AGGTTGAATGGTTTGGCGGAGTGTTAAAATTGAATACATCGAGAGAAATGAAATGGGGTTTAACGTCCTACTGTTCTGCTCCTATGCTCGGCTAATGAAGACGGGCATACGCCATACAGTGTGCTATGAGGGAAATTTTGCCCGGGCAGCGGCAGTATCGCCTATCTTATATCGAATTCCAACTGCCAAGGGATATTTTACGTGCATTCCAATGTATACATGGGACCTCGGTTTTTCGACTCATCCGAAGAACTAGACAGCTGTCCTTGTCCGGCCCTCCGTCCTGCATCACTGACAAGGGGGAACCACGCCGGAAAATCTGGATGAACTTTCTCTGCCAACGCAGGGATTCATAACCCGACCTCCAGGCTAGCGAGCCAGCTTCTTACCCACTTAGTCACGTGATTCCCATACATCGAGAGAGAGAGAGAGAGAGAGAGAGAGAGAGAGATATGGTGTTAACGTCCACGCGACACAACATATGGCTCAATTTCATTTCAATAAATCGCTTGCGCGTAGGGTCTTTAGCAGTGGGAGGAAGCTGGAGGACTCGGAGAAAACCCATGAGGTTGGACAGGCGAACATACTCCTTGGCACGTACAACCGGGAAATCGAAACCACACCAGTTGACTTGATAACAGACCTTATGATACAAAGCGCACGTGCTAACCATTCGGCCATCCAACCCCCCAAACAACATCGAACGTGATATGGTTTACAAATACTATTTCAAATATAAGCTAAACAGCATTTGATAATTTTTATTTAAAGCAAGTGCAGGATTTGGAGAATTTTATTTAATTTTTTTTTTACAATTGAGCCAATTAATATTTATATATACTGTACGGTCTATATTAACACAGGGTACAATTTTATGGATACACAATTACTGAGTTTAATACTAAGCGACGTTTCGACGAGGATACACTCGTCTTTATCAAGCCAATCTCTCTCTCTTTCTCTCTCTCAGCACATTTCAGCACTCTGTCCAACCTTCAACCCGACGAAAGACGAGTCGTTTATATCAACATAATGGTCCCGACCAGGTGCGCAATCACCAAATGAGCACGCAGTGGCGACACCAAACGACTTCATAATGATCGTTGCTAGGTAGAATGTAAAAATTATATGATGTTGATGCTAAACGTGTAAAGCATCAATGAAGAATACGTTTTTCGTCTAAATAATAGAAATAAGATGAAATTTAATTAAAATTTACACTGAACAAATAAAGAAGTTGGGTTATACATTGTCTTAATTTAAAAATTACATGAATAGAAGTTAGAAATTACATGAATAGAAGTTAGAAATTACATGAATAGAACTTAAAAAATACATGAACAGAAGTTAGAAGTTAGACAAAAGCATTTTAGAATTTTGAATCTTATATACCGCCATACCGGGCTATATTGCGCCAAATTTATGGTGAATATTACGAGACAGGCTAAATTATATCACAGAAAAACATTATATCCATAAATAAAAACAATATCACAGTTAGTAAAATTAAAAATAAAATACAACTTTTATGCATATAAATATTAAATACAAAATTGAAATGATATATATATATATACAATTAAAATTTATGATACAATGTGATGTAATGACTGACAACGGTAAACATTAGATGTAATATTCTTGAAATGCTTGCACTCAATCAAAATGTACTTAACCGTCAAAGGAACATGATAGTGTTCACATTCTGGTTGAGGCTCTCGCTTTAAAATGAAAATGTGAGTTAAAAAAGTATGACCAATGCGAGAGCGACACAAAACAACTTCATCTCTCTTGTGCTATAGGAGTTAGGCCAGTCTCCTAAGAGAGGCTTAATGTGATGAAGTTTGTTTGTGCCTGCAAGATTCCAAGACCGTTTCCAGCGGCCATAAATAAAAAGATTGATTGAAGATTTAAAATCAGAAAATGGTAATAGAAATTGTGATATGGAAAGATCTAAAGCAGACTTGGCAGCTAAGTCTGCTTGATCATTCCCTTTAATATCAACATGACTGGGGAACCAACAAAGAGCAATGTCCTTGCTGAAGAACTCGTGTGATAGTAGCAGACGATAAATGTCTGCTACTAATGGGTGTACAAGCTGTTTGTTGTTTATTGCCTGTAAATGCAAAGAGGACAAAGAATCAGTAAATATAACATGTTTTGACAATGAAGAGGTTTGAATGAACTCCAATGCCTGAAAAATGGTCTGGAGCTCACCAGTAAATATGGAAGCAGCTGGTGGAAGTCTGGCAGAAATGATTCCAGATGGCGTGACGGTAGCCGAAGCTATCCGATCACCATCTTTGGAACCATCTGTGTAAATGGGAGCATAATCACCATATTTAGACCGCAACTCTCGAAAGAGAGACTGAAAATTCCGTGGAGCTAGTATCTTTCTTTTTATTTTTTGTTAGATCTAGATGGATCTTCTGTGGAGAAATAGTCCAGGGTGGCGTTTTAAACAAAGGGTTTGGATGCGAATGCCGAATGATGGAATCACGTTAGTTTTCAGTCAATACATATGTTCATGATATGGTCTAAATATGATGTTATATGAAATATGATGAGGCTGAGATGCAATTTTTGTAGCATACTGCAGTGCAAGTTTATCACGTCTGTCGTGCAATGAGGGCTCGTGTGCCTCGACGTATAAACTCTGCACTGGAGATGTACGGAATGCTCCTAGACTGATTCTAAGTCCTTGGTTGTGTATGGTGTCAAGCTCTTTGAGATAAGACTCGCGGGCTGACAGATACACAATACATCCATAATCGACTTTGGATCGTATTAATGCTCGATATAGTCTGAGCAAGACCTTACGGTCTGCTCCCCATTCAGTGTTTGATAAGACTCTCAATATGTTGAGGGCTTTCAGGCATTTCTTCTTCAGGGTTTTAATATGGGGGATAAATGATAATTTCTTATCAAATATCAAACCCAAGAATTTTGTTTCATCCACAACTGGAATGGGGCTTCCATCCAGTGTTAGCTCCGGACCAGGATGTAAACCTCTTCGTTGACAAAAGTGCATACAAACAGTCTTGGATTTCGAAAATCGAAATCCATTGTCAGTTACACACTTAACCACCGTGATCCCGTATTTAATCCATTATTGTTTAGTTATGTTATGTTATGTTTTGATGTCAACACTTGAGCTTATCTATTTATAGTTAGAATATAAAAACGCTAATGTACATCAATAGGTACGAGTCATTAAGTCGTCCGACTTAGTAGCAGCTACATCGGTCATCCACTGTGCTGTTGATGTACATCGTATGTTTTGAATTGTAATTTGTAAGATATAAGTTCCAGTAATTAAAAGATTGAAGAACCATTCCAGACTTATTAGTTATTGAAGAACCGAGTGGTTATAAAAAGACAAAAACATTGAAAAATTAATTGAAATTGAAAGCACGGGTACAGACCACCAAATGTTCTCTCATTGACGTTAATGGTAATTGTTGTGTCTTGTCTTTGCATGGGTGTTGCTGTTTCCCAGACTTTTCTTACACTGATAGCTCAGAAACAGACAGCCAGACAGACGGGGGCATAAGGGGATAGATATCATAGAAATAATAGGAACTATATTCCCCGGGTAACAACATATGGGGAAGTAATTTTTGATGGGTGTCCGCAATTAGAATATATTTATATATGAAAGTAGCTATGGATATGAAGGCATCAAAGGCTTGCATTGTTTACATCGGACGTAGTGTAAGTAACACAAACTGTTCCGGACAGAATAGTACGGTTTACTCAATTTACGTCTTCGCGTACTATTTTATGCATCCATTTACACAAAATAGGATATAGGTTTTATTCAGACATTTATGTTTTTTTCATAATAATTTAACAAATTGTTGAGCTAATTAACCCACACCGGCCCAGAGTTCACAAAGCATTCTCAGACTTAAGTTTTCAATCACTGTTTATGAGAAATATCTTTGATCCAGAAACACAAAACTTTGCACATAGTTTCTTATTGATGTATTTGATACATTCAAACAACAAAAGTTTTATAAAGGGCTATATTTTAGTTAAAATATGGCGAACAATTTTGAGTAAATTTTTAACTTAAGTCTGAGAATGCTTTGTGAACTCGGGAGCCAATGTTGTCCCTTTCAGTGATTGTAGAGACCAAGCCAATATTCACCGCCGAATAGTTTTCGCACGAAATTGAGCAGCAGGCTAGTAGTTAGACACCAGCAGCGCCATCTTCAGAACTATATTTTAGTGTCAGTGTAAACTTTCCCTTGACCAACGAACACAAGTTCAAAATGTACTAATTTATAAAATGGTGATACATCAGTGAAGATATAGACCGACAAGGGAAATAAAATTGGTCCAAGAAACATTAATCACAAGTAGGACGCCATTAAAACCCCTGTTAAGATTACAAGAATTATCGTCATTCATTTAATAAATACGGTACATCCCCAGATACGTACAAAACAAATTATCACGTTCTAATTCCCTACATATATATGGATATATATTGTAATTCACGTCTGCACTGTGGTCATAATTCAAACAGATGCGTCGCATCAAATGATATTTATAGAATTGGATCACAGAGTACAAATCTTCTGTTAGATAACAAATTTGGTAGCGATGTCAATAATGACGGAATGGTTGAAATCCGATACACCGCGGAGACGATCATACAATATTCGTTATCACGACCTCATTAAATATTTAGCAATTGTTGATCGTCGGAGGAATTATTCGCCAAACCTTTCAAAATTCACAAATAATAAAGAAAGGCCATAACAAATTCATCAAATCCTCATTGGTGTCTTTTGTTTTGACTGTAAAAAAGTTTTAATTGAAATATGACGCGAGGAATTCCATGGTAACATTATTTTATCCGTGTTTTTCTTCACGTGCAACAATTGATTGGATTTGTAATTTGAAAGTACGTGACGAGAAAATGATCCACAGTGAACGAGACCCAATGTCGTGTGGACGATAATATCACGTGATTATTATGAGATGTCTATATATGGCGTTGGACTATGAGGTTGTTATTTGAATATCTGTCGGTATTAGAAACAGTTGGAAGCAGATTTAAGACCAAAGGTGTGAAATTTGTTTTGAGACGATGGCACATTTATCTACTACTTTATTCCTGTTTGCAACTTGTCTGGTTCTACTTCTGGGTAAGTAAAGTTTCTATAGATTTTAATGTCGTCGATCTCCCCGGCTTAATCCACGCTAACGTGTACTCTAATGGATTACCTACCAAATATCAACGGCGGTAGATAATCTCCTGACTTGTATTCAGTCGGATTAACAAGAATTTTATACAACCCAGAAAGTGTTGGCTTGTATATATGGTCTGTAGAGTATGGAAAATACTCAACTGTATTGGATCATTATTTTCTAAACAATATTTATTCACCGAAACTGGATTGGAGAATAGGCAGAAGCCTATAGACCCCCTGTTAAAAATTCAACTTTGTCGATCAGGTAGTTTAATACCCGTAATAACTATTACGATATATATCTCTGCTTGAGCGCCGTCGTGGGTGGGGTGTGATGGCCGAATGGTTAGGGCGTGCGCACTGTATCATAAGGTCTGTCACTGAGTCAACTGGCGTGGTTTCGATTCCCCGGTTGTATGTGACAAGGAGTAGGGTCGCCTGTCCAACCTCGCGGGGTTTCTCTTGGTCCTACGGTTTCCTTCCACTGTTAAAGACCCCTACGCGCAAGCGAATTATTGAAATTTAGATTTAACCATGTGTTAGTCCCGAAATGAAATTGTTTGTGTCAAGTGGACGTTAAACCCCATTTCTCTCTCTCTCTCTTGAGCACCGTCGTGAATCACTGTTTCAATGTTACGTCATTTAGATTTTTAAACATATTTATGCGCATTATTTTTTTTATATAAGGTCATATATATGAAGAAACGGTTTCTAACTTTTGCAAGTGTCACTGTTTGACAGACACATTTAGACTGTTTCGTTTTCTTCTGTAAGACAAGTTGCGGTCTTTAAATATTCTATAACATTTGGGAACCGCAGTGGCTCAGTGAATAAGACGCTGGATCACTATACGGGATATGATCACAATACGGGATGATTCGGGTTCTCTCTTGGTGTGATTTATTCTTGCCGGTATTACATTACAAATAGAATCGTTTACATATATGACATACACGTGAAAGAACTCATAACAGTTGGAATTACATCACCAGTTTGATTCAATATCCCTCCCCCCTCCCCGCCCCCTCATAAATACATGAAAATCGAAACGGGACAAATATTTGTGTGAAAAACTTGTAAACAACAAGTGGTTTATTGAAAATTACCCTAGCAGGGAATTACATAAAAAAAAAACCCATACAATATGACAACCATTATAAATAAACTCATGGATATGGAACTAACAGGAACTATGTAGACAAACTTATTACACAACAGGTTTGTTTTTATGTTGAACTTTGAGGTATAGATGGATCCAGTTAGAACTGTCGGTCAATTAATACACTTCATTGCCTGTGCAATCTACATCAGAGACATTCAGAAAGAATTTTCTCGTCTCTTGACAATTTTCAGTTTTCAATAAAACAATTAACTTCTCCCGAAACGCCATCGTCGTCAGTACATGTTTTATATCAAATATTAGCTTTTGGTTTTTTTAACCCGTTTTCTATACACGATCACGGAGCTTGTTAACTACTGGTGGAAATAAATATTCCTTGTACTCCCTTGTCAGATAAACATGTTACAAATAAATATTCCTTGTACGCCCTTGTCAGATAGACATGTTAGATAGACATGTTAGATAGACATGTTACAAATGCGGTTTAACGTCCTATTTTTCTGCACCAAACGGGCTAAAATAATGAAATGAAATGCGGTTCAGCGTCCTACTTTTCTGACCCAAACGGGCTAACGAAGACGGACACGCATGGTTTTACAACACTACAATACGCAGGGTGCTACAAAACTACAATACGCAAGGTGATACAACACTACAGCACGCAGGGTGCTACACCACTACACCACTACATCACGCAGGGTGCTATGCGGAGAATTGTTCCTCGGTCAGTAACGCTACGGTCTACTCTTATTTCGATTTTCATCTATCAACGGATCTTTAACATGATGTCGGTAGTATTTATAGAACGCGCGCACGCATTATCGTCCCGTTCAAACGACTAGAAACTGGAAATCAACACTGTGCCCCCGTGGCTCCTACAAAACTTCGCTGATTTAAATTTAAGCAAGATTATGTACAATGCAAGCAAGTTTTGTTATAGAAGATATCTCCTCATAGTGAAAGCCACTCTACATACTTGGTATTTACAATCAGTATCTTATGGAAAGTTACCCAAGTTGAGTATGAGATAGATTTCTTCTCCTGTAATCAGATTGTTGTCAAATGAGCGGGAGAAATGCTTGTTCCCTCAAATTATTAATAAACACTATAGCCTTATCTTGATGCATTATTACAAAACTTGTACCTAGGATTATATTGGTGTGTTAATTTCCACTGATATCTTTACAATTATATGAAATAATTTGATAAGAATCGCGATCAACGACTCGTGAACTGGCCAACAGTCAACTTTCTTTGTAATTCTGAGAGATACAACATGCAAACTATAAATAACGAGGCAGTGAATCAAATCAAATTGGGTTTAACGTCCCAATTGTCTGCTCCAGTCGGGCTAATGAAGTCGGCCATACGCTGTGTTAATATGTAAAATAATGCCTCGACACAGCTAAGGGCCGATCCCACCATCTGATGATAAAGGATAAAGCACACGACCGTGACTTTTCTCATAAAAATGTTGTTTTACAATTTTTTATGTAGCTGAGAAGAAAGGGGAACACCTCTCTGGATTCGCTCCTAAGACAGCAGTTAAATTTAAATTGCCAAGGGTTTTGTTTCGTATCATCCAAACGACTGGACACCCGCTCCTCGCCAGGTCTCCCGTCATGCGCCACTGATCCTCGCCAGGTCCCCCGTCATGCGCCACTGATCCTCGCCAGGTCCCCCGACCTGCGCCACTGATAAGGAGAAATCACACCGGAAAATCCCAAAGCACTTTCCCGAATATCAAGGGAATATCTTCACACTAGAAGTTGTCCAAGTGATATAAGTTTTCATAATTATCAACAAATAACATTATTAACGGTATTATAGATAAAATCAACAAATAACAATTTTACATTATTAACAGTCTCATAACCAACAGATCGGAAAATTGTCATTTAGACCTGTCGCATCATTGCTCAATTATCCACCAACGTTTTATTATTGCAATTAGCCTAATGGCATATCATAGATGGATTGCTTTTTGTTTTTTGATCTTTTATTTTAATAAAAGAAAGTTTGTGTATTATAAATGAGTTGGATTTATTTTACAGCGATCCTCATTAGTCAGATGAATAATTTAAAATGGTAATTCTTTTCGCTTAAAACCCCCAAATAAAGTTGGTATAGTTTCATCGTAGTGAATTAGGTCATTTGAAAAGCACATGACTGTTAATATTTGTTAACAACAGAACTATAGCGAGTTGAGTGTAGAGTCGTGCTGGGTGGGTAGGCAGGGCAGGCCACCTGCAAATGGTTGATGACGCTCCTCGAATCCGATGAGATTTCCTACCAGGGTACAGGTGCCCATGGGTATGTGGCTGTGTGCCCTCCCTTCCGAAAATATGCTCTCTTTACTGAAAAACTGCCCTCGAATTTCGAAATACTTACCTCAAATACCCAAGGAAATGCTCTAATAAGAATATTGTTGCTGTCTTTCCCTTGTTCCAACTAAATCCAGAGATATTAAAAAACAATCGCACGCAATTTACGAACCCAAAAAGTCCGTTTTTCATTTGGATAAATCGTGAAGAGAGATATACGCTTCAGAATTAACAGAGAAGGAATTTTAATGACTGTCTGAGATTGTTTATGATTCTTAAATTTGTCATGATGTTTCTCATTTAATGTTTGTAATGGATTCAATATCCTCTTACCTGTATCATAAGGCCTGTCATTGAGTCAACTGGCGGGGTTTCGACTTCCCGGTTTTCTACGGGTCCTCCGGTTTCCCCCCACTGCTAAATAACAAAATTGAACCATATGTTAGTCCCGAAATGACCTAGTTTGTGTCGAGTGGACGTTAAACCCCATTTCTTTCTCTCTTACCTTTAAATGTAGTAACAATCGGCAATTAAAATTTATTCTTAGAAATTATGGCTTTTGTCTCTTTTAATTTGTTTTGCTGTAAATTAGGAGTCCGATCATGAGTTTGAGTTCTGATTCTAGGAAATATAACACCATGTGACATTGTTCATAGTAAAAACCGGGTGTTGTATTGAAATGACTGTAAACTCTATAAAGGTGTGATTGACAACACTAGAATGATACCATGAAGTCTGGAAAACTATTTGCTATGTAAATGGTGTGCTTTATTTTTTATTAAAATGAATTTGGCTAAAGTAATCATGTGTTATTCATGCGATTTAATTGACGAATTCCTGCAAAATACCACTGACAATTAGTATGATATTACACTTGTTAATGAATGGGTTTTCACTTTCAAAATGGCTGATTACTGCCAACGTGTAACAATATATAAATTTGTTTTATGTTTATGGTTATTTAAATTTTACATTGATTCTTAGGATTTTACACTGTATGGGGTTATGTGGGTAAATGTAATTTTCTGCGAGAAGTTTCAGCCACACAGAGGTTAAAAAGGGTTTGAATCTGTGTATCGGGTTAGGGTTAGTTTTAGTTACAAGCCAGTTTTAGTTTGTAAAACGTGGTTCTTAAAGAAACTATGCGTTTACTCAATGTAAAACTTGTTTTTTGGAGAGAAATTAAAGTGGATGGGGATAGTAAAAATGCTTATTGCTTATAGAAGCCACCATCGTTCTCATTCCGTTTACCTTTGCTGTGTTTTACGAATGGTTGGTGAATGTTGTGACATGGGGGTGACAGTGGCCGCGCCAGCCGCCGGTGGTTGGAGGGGCGAAGCTGGGGCAAAGTCCTGGGTTAAAGGGGCAGAGGCGTGAGCTTCAACTTGCGGGGGTGGGGTGGGGGCTGCCCCAGAAAATTTTGAAAAACAGACTGCCGGAAATGCAGTCTGGCAGTATTTCAGGCACTGATTGTCGAAATAAATAGATCTGACTAGATACCGCCTGTCGTC